CGGCTACAATTGATTCGTTTGAGCCGTGCATTGCGAGAAAAACGGCCGGAATACGAGCAAAGACATGATAAAGTTATTTTTCTTCATGACAACGCTCGACCTCATGTCGCAAAAGTCGTAAAAAAATATTTGAAAACGCTCAAATGGGATGTTTTACCGCACTCGTATTCTCCGGACATTGCTCCTTCTGATTACTGGTTGTTCCGAAGGATGCAGCACATCACCGGTTCACTTCTTTCGCAGAAATCGAAAATTGGCTCCAAAATTAGATCGTCTCCAAAGACGAGTCATTTTTTCGAGATGGAATTTGAAAATTGCCTGAGAGATGAGAAAAAGTAGTAGCCAATACTTTAATTAATCTGTTCATTCATTTTGTTTTGAAATAAATGCATTTTTGAAAACAAAAAAACGGACTGAACTAATTTGTACTCCCAATAATAAAAAATCCACCTAATTTTCCGGTGATCCAGCTGGTCCCACCTTGAATTAAATGAATAAGTGCAGGTAAATTGATACAATATTTTTTATTTCCCTTATACAGTTGGCGTTAGGAAGATAAAACAGAAATTGATAACGACGAGATCTTAATCCAGTTATCACTTTTAAGCACCACTCCCATACTGTTAATCATTTTGAGTGGAAACAAAAGTTCAAAAGACATATTCGCAGAAAGAGAAAATGATCAAAATGTCTTAAATGAAATAATTTTAAAAAATTTGTCGGATAATTCATAAAAGATTCAATATTCCAATACATTGAGTTTTCTAATTCTATTTTTCATTTGTATGTGATATATATTCAAAAGTTAGATATAAATAAGTAAATAAGGTGGTAAACAATTTATTTTGTGAAAAAGTGTCTTGACTTTGATGATGTTGAAGTACTTGGAGAAGCTGGAATAAATATAAAAATAAAAGTGCAAAGAAGAAAAACTTGTTCAATAAACAATACGTCCTAAATATGAAAGAAGAGGTGTGGGACAAAGTATCTGACATCATAATTACTACTTGCCAAAGAGGAGAGAAATTATTACCTGCACAAGGCAAGCAATAAATCGAATTGTCAGAGACTATATGATAAATGTTCTTCAACGAACATCAAAAGGAGTAGCTGAACAAATAGCTAGAAATATTTGCGAGACATATCCAGAAATTTTTAAAGACACCATCGATGACGAACAGTGGGGCAGTAGCATTGAAACCTTGAGAATGCAAATATATAATTGCGTTCAATACATCAAACATATAAAGAGTCATAATAAAAGAGCATTAAGCCCAGATAGCGATGATGCTGATGAAGAAGAGAAAAAAAAAGAAGCTGCCATGTTACGGCGTCAGGATGAATATGGCTGTGTTGAATACGCACCTAGATACTTTTAACAGAAAATTCAAAGTCACAGCAAGAAAAACATCTTCGATTACTGGAAAGAGATGTAGCTACTGTAGAAAGAGATACAAACGAAATAAGCCAATTGATGACAGAAACATACCCAACTCTACGAAGCGTCATTAATGAAAAATCGAGAAACATTGAAGAAATCTCAGTACAGTGGCCTTTTCTTAAAGAATCTAAATTTATACTGCAGCATAGTTCTATCTTATTGGGCAAAAATATTTAAAATGTTTGGTCAAACCCGCTTATCAAGAAAGTTAAGCCAATTCGACAATATATTAAATTTTCTAAAAAAATACCTACGAACGTAAAAATTTGCATTGTTAACGAATGTAAAAATGCTGTACAAGTAACAAAGAGAAATATATTGATAATTAAAATATTGGTTATTTTTCCATTGTTACTTGCATATTTTAAAGAAAAGACTAACTTTTTATTCAAAATAATTAGCGTAAGTTAGATTTTTATATTTAATGCTTGTATTGAAAGTACAAAATGATAAAAATTCATACCATTATTACAGATTGACAAAGCAGACGCAAATATGCCAGCAATTGCAGACTCCTATTTTGCAGACCCTATTTTAATTATCAGAGGTATTTATATTTTATTTTATAAAATTTTACGCAACGTGTAAGGAAGCATATACTTTTGTAAAATCCAAAAAAGAAGACCTTCGAATAATTTTAAAAACAAGCTGCGAGATGAATTGAGTTGCTTTTTTTATTTAAAGATCATGAATTATACATATATATGTATGATATATTAGTAAAAGTTTACATTAGGGGACCCCCCCAGTGACCATGACATATATTGTCAAGGTCATGACCCTGAGTGACCGCTAATAAGTTTTAGCAATTGCTCATTATTTGTTAAAAAATTATTAACAATTAAATTAAAGTTAGTAATTATTTCTCTGTTTACATGAAAAGTCAAATAACTCTAGGCGGAGAGAGAGGTAATAGGAACGTACCCATACCTCTCCTCGCCTAGAGTTATCTGACTTTTCATGTAAAGCAAAGAAATAATTACTAACTTTGATTGTCAATAACTTTTTAACGAATAACGACTGCTAAAACTTGTTGGAAGTCACTCAGGGTCATAACCGTAACAACATATGTCAAAGTCAAGGTCATTAGAGGAGGGTCCCCTAATATAAATAATTACCGATATATTTCTTCTGTATTTTATAGGAAACTCGCTTTATGATTCTAATGCTACATATAACGTCGTCATCAAAAGAAAGATAATGATTTTTTGCGATGACGTTTTCCAAGGAATTTTGATCAGCTTTTTAGCATATTATATATTTGGAATTTGCTACCCAAAAAAAGCTGAGAGACGTTAGAGTTTATCCAAAGGTAACTGAAATTTAATTATTTACTATTCATATAATAGTTTATGATAGTTTGCTAATTAATCTTTTGTTTCAACATACTTCTTTCTGAATATTAACCCGCACACTGGTGAGAAAAGAAATATAACAAAAAGCAAACGTAGGAGTAAAACGTTTGATACGGATGTATTCA